TTTCTGTAATCTCCACTTATTTATAATTCGAAGATGAGTTTGATTATATTTGATATGAAAGGCATCACAGTTGAGAAAATATCTGTTCAGGCTTCGAGTGGTTGTGTTGCATTGAAGAAAGGCACTTCCGGTTTGCTTGGTCTTATATCCCCATTAATAACTTTCTTTCTATCTCTTACACCGTCACAGTATCATTATTTCTTTCTATATCTGTTTATTCCTTCATTTTCCCCCTTTCTTTTTTTTAACTAACTACTAGATGATAATTGGAAAAGTGAAAAAGTGAAAACAAGAAACCACAATTATTTTCAATTCCTATGAAGAAAGTGGTCGAAATGCGGTTTTTTTATACACACAATAACGTGGTTAATTTTCAATCAATTCACATATAACATCGATAACTCATACATATATCTTGCATCACTTCATCGCTTGGTGAAAATCTCACAAAATCAGTTCAGTAATTGCGGCAGAGGTCTTTATTTTCCAGTATGTCATGGTTTCATAAGTGTTTACAGAAATTCAGATAAAAACAATGGTTCTTATCGCCACTGATGATTATAAATTGATATACGATAAAAAACGTTCGTACTTATGAATGATGAATCTAACTCAGATGACAATAAAATCGACAGGAGTGAGAAAAACTGTGATTTTATTATGAATCATTACACTGGTCTTCAAACAAAAATAAAAGAATTTGCAAGGTGTCATACTTCGAACCAAAATCGCTTACTTGATGTCACCTGACTATCTATCTGAATGGCAGGTACCTACAACAGGTTCATGCCACATTATTAGAATATTTTCGCCAGTATATGCCTGCTCTCTGAGATAATAACATCAAAAGTAGTTCTCTCCTTCGATTCGAATTTCGGATTCTCTAATATCGATATAGTAGGTATGTCTCTTGTTTCACTATCTCCAGATTCATCTCTCCCAAACTTATAACCTATACAGTCCGAGTTATCTGTTAACTAGATTCACTTGAACTCATTAATAACCTATTTTGAGTGAGCATGGACATTTTCAAACAATCCATGTTCTCCATTATCCAAGGGTTTCCACAAGAGTCTACTGTAAAACCAAACGTTAATATCGAAGCTCAAATGTCTTTCTTTTTCTTCCTCCACAACTTTCACTGCAAAGCGACTTGATGACACCAGAACCAATATACTGTCGGATTCAACTATTCATAATTACCGAGCCTATCAGGATGTACTTTGAAAATCGTTCAGTCCAATCGAGTCTTCTCAGATGGACCTAGTACAACTGAAATGATTTATAATAGATTGAAATAACTATCTGTAGTATGGAATGAATGCTTTATTTATGGGCTTTTTTCAATTAGGTAACCATTTATTCCCCATCTTTTTTATCTAATAGCCTTATACTTTCGAAAGTAATAGATAGATAGATAGATAGACATATATTTTATTGTCCAAGAAAATACAATCTTATTGACAAAGCTTGTTGAAAAATCTGGTATATATAGCACTTTAAAGAATAAAAGAAAAGAAACAATTCAAAAACACAAATACACAGGAACACAATTTGAGCAAAACTAAGGTCACATATCTAATAGATGAAATATAACAATAGAAAAGAAAATTTAACAAAATATAGACAAAATAGTTTGTCTAGTCCCTTTCAAAAGATGTAAATAACAGATATATACAATTTGAACATAAGTTCACATGCCATGGCAATAAAATAAGATCTATCCCAGTATAAAATATAATTCAAAGTATAGGTGTCAATATAAACAACAAAAAAACACCTATATTAAATCACAACAATGTTTCATTGTAATATTCATCAAGATTGTAGTACGCTTCAGTTGCAAGGGCATCTTTAACATGATTTCTGACCTTTTTATAGCTTTTTTCCTTCTTAATTTCGTAGGGTATGTGATTATACAGCTTTTTACTTTCATAAATCAAAGAATACTTTATCTGGCTTGTTTTTGTCACAGGAAGATGTATTTTATTTTCAGTTACTTGCCGGGAATTTCGTAAATTCCAGACTTTTCCGAATTCTCGACTTTGTCTTTTGGACTTCCCAAAAGGCTCTGCAGTGTATGACTTGTTTTAAAAACCACCTTCATACCTAGTTCCTTGGAAATCTTCCCAAAGTTCTTCGTATATTGATGGTATGGAACTGAGATGTATTTATCTTGGTTTTTGTCCTTTCTGAAAGTCGAGATTTCGTTCATTCTTAACCTAAACTTCTTTTTTTTCCTAATTATGTCATCTACAATACCCCTCGGGAAACCGTTGGTGGCTGCTATTTTCTGTATTGTACGTTTTTCTTTTGTGAACCTATCATGTGTTAGAGGGAAAGTCAAAAGACGATGCACCAATAAATTCAACCCAGCACGTTTGTGCTGTCCATAGTGATGTGAATTGTCAGGAATATACCTGTACGTGCTAGGAAATAATGAACTAACATCAAAAGAAACCAAAATCTCACCTTCCTGCAGAATTATGTTTTTTGTAAGTTGTATGAACTCTAAAGAGTTTTTTATATACTAAAACCTGGTTCCGCAATAGACAAGGTTTCAAATTCCTTAGTGAGCCACTTCGCTATTTGGTAGGTAGGAGCTCCAATAGCTGACACGATGGGGCGCATTGATTTTCCCGGTTTATGGATTTTTGGGCAATATAGTTTTGACATCGTTGGGTTGGAAACTTGGAATTCAATTCATAACCAAAGTTCTTCGTATATTCATAACTAGATTTAATACTCAAAACAAGTGATTCACTAATCGAGCCGAAAAAAATTTGTTTGCAATTCAGTGAACTTAATGAACTTGTACATAATATTTCTAGTTTAGCAAATGAATATTATCATCATTATACTATGTGTTAAATCACTATTTTTTTCAGGAAAGAATTTAATCATCTGGCATCCATATGCTACATCCAATCCATTATACTCGTCATAAGCTCGCTCTCCTCTAGCATATCTTTTTTTCTCATCACGATGACCATCACTTGGAGCGTCAAATATGCAGACACTGAAAATTTACACTTCACTCACAATTTTTTCTCCCGGGTGACACAATATTTCCTGGATTTGGTTCCAGGTGTTATATCCAAATCATCCGAAGTACATGCTTCATTGGAGAGAATAACGGAGTTTTTGAATACACAGGAAATTTCTCCCAGGTCAGTGACTTCATCCAATCCAGGAGTGATTTTGAATCAAGTCAATGTGGAAATAAATGGGACACAAATTCTGAAAGAGATATCCTTATCAGTGGATCGAGGGCTCTATTTAGTCACAGGGGATGGTGGAAGTGGAAAAACGGTTTTACTGAAGACCCTCCTAGGTGATCTTCCTGCGAAAACAGGCCAGCTGGAGATAAGTGGAAGCATTTCCTATGCTCCTACAGATTTCTGGTTCTTTCCATCATCAATCAGGCAGAACATAATTTTTGGACAAGAATATAACGAGAAAAGATACAAAGAAGTACTGTCACTCTGCGCCCTCGATGAAGATATCAACAAGTTTGAACGAGGAGATAAAACTCTTTTAGGGAACCACGAAGTAAGCCTTACCAAAGGACAACAAGCTAGAATCAGCCTTGCCAGAGCAGTGTACAGAAAAACTGATATATACTTGTTTGATAATTGTTTGACTCATCTGGACCCCCAGGTGAACATGAACATTTTCAAAAGGTGTGTCATGGATTTCTTGAAAGACAAGTTGGTTGTTTTCATCACACGCAACCTCAGTCACATCAAACTAGTTTCCCCTCACCAAATTCTATTCATGGAAGACGGGAGATTGTACGTGAACGAGCGAAATGAAGAATTGAACCGGAAAATCACCCATTATGTTTCTGGTCCTGATGATTATGATTTCGATGAGGACGAAGAGCATCATCATCTTCAAGCAGATGAAAGCACTGGACTCTTGGAATCAGATGTGGAAATATATTCCAGAAACATCCATCATGAAGAGAAACAGTTGGGTGAAGTGAAGCTATCTGTGTATATGTGTTATTATAAGTTTTCTCAAGGGCCCTACATGTTACCATTATTGGTGATGTGTTATGTTGCATTTTCCGTGTCGACCTACTACACTGAAAACTTTCTGAATAAATGGTGAGTATGAAGTGACATTGAAACGTTGAAAATATTCTTGAATGGGTTTTACGCTGCTTATATTGTGATTTTTAAAAACATGATCATGTTATCTTCTCGCCTCAATTATTCACCTGATGATTTCAGGCTGAAGAGAGGTCTACTCGTTGGATATAATGAAACAAAAGAAGGACAAAAACCACAAGAATTATTAGAGACAATCAGAAATTCAACAGATGATATTGAATAAAACTTAGCCTGAACTGTTAAATTAACAATTTACCAATCTAACTCATCGAGTCGAAATATAATACATGCAACATTTTTGAATCATGAATGTGTGTCGAAAAAATTTAGAATGATTTCAATCGCAAACTCTGAAAACTCAACTTATTGAATAGCTATTCGTCTGGCTGAAGTGGTAATTTCAAATGTTATTTGTTCTTGCAAGGGACACGTTAATCAACGAATGACTCATCAAATTATTTTCATCATTTTCATGCAAATGTTCAACCATTTTTGTTGTTTTTTATGCGAATATGTGAATGTGAAATGAGAGAACTTGACTGGAACAAGGTATGGATGTATCAATTAGAACATCCACTAGATAACCTGTGTGGGATATCGCCTGGTCATCTCACTGAAGTGTCTAAGGCGAAGGTTCATCCAAGAACACGAATGAGATGTGCATACAAAGTCTATTGATAGGATAATGAGGCAATCATTATTGATATTTTTTTAATGTACCAATTTTACATCTAAGGACATGAATGAGATGTACCTAGAATGTTTATGTGGAGGGAAATGAGACAGTCCTTTTCAGTATTTTCTCCACAACAGTTTTCAACGTAACCAAATAGTCTATCATTTCCAATATCTTATGTTACATATAAAGTTAATAGTCAAGCAGTAAGTCATAAAATTAGGTTATATGATTGCAATGAAATGGTATTATATACATCACTTGTACAACACCCAATGTTTCTTCGAATAATTTTTAACTCATCTAGTATATTATTGTAGATCAGTAATTTACATTTTTTCAAAAGTCTCATCAGAAGGGTATCGAGTTAGTCTTTTCAAAAGTCATTTTGAATAATTTCAAAGTACATTCCGAATGAGTTCTCATGCACTGAAAATAAAATCGTGAAATATACCGAGTAGACTCAAAGAACCAAGTTACTTTGCTATTGAGTGACTAGCCGCCTCATTTACATTGTATGCCAATATTTTTTGATAGTTTTACATCTATCGCTGAGAAAGTGTGGTTTGAACATATTTGTTAATGAATTCCTGGATTGTTTATACTCAGAACTCCGTTTCAAATTCAATACCTTTTTTTTCAGGGTGGATATGGAGCCGAATGTAACAGATATCGTAAGATACAAAAATACTAACTCCTCGAAGTTGTCATCATTACTAGAGGACAGGAATTACTACTTGAATTTCTACTGGGTGCTCATAGTAACAGTTGTTGTTCTTATTTTCGTCAGAACGTATTTGACTTTATTTTACAGTCTTAGTGCGTCGATAATATTGCACAAGCACCTCAGTAGATCTATTCTGAATTCTTTCATGACATTTTTTGACAGTCATTATATTGGGAATATTATAAACAGATTCTCCAAAGACCTTAGTACTCTAGACGAAACAATTCCTGCAGTTATTCACGATCTCCTCAAGGTAAGTTTCATAATTCGACAATTTCAACTCACCATCTATTTTTCATCAGTAAAATGCCAATGTAAATCTCACCTCATGAATGTACATCAATATGCCTCGTCTGAAAGGAAAACGTCACAACTAAGAAACTTGGTGTATAGTCAAAACAGTTTGAGACAGGTTGAACAATTTGTATCTATGTTTTTCAGAAACTGAATTATCTACTTATTTTGAAGCCTTCAAAAATATTCTAATTTTTTTTCCAAATAATGCGAAATTTGGTAAAACCATGGAAAATGTTATTCATCACAGAGATACCGTGACTCACAAAAATAATTTCATATTTATGTTTATATCAACTTTCTGATATCATTAGTTTTTAGAGTAATGTTGAAATGATTGGCCTCATCATATTGGTTTCTTGTACGAATCCAATATTATTGATACCCATAGGAGTGCTTATGTTAGTTCTTAGAATGATCCAAAAGTTTTATCTGATAGCAGGAAGGAGTATCAAAAGATTGGAGTCATCGAGTAAGTGATAATTCATGAAATATTCTTCCAGTGGGTTTTCAATTTTTGCAGATCATTGCATTTTCAACCAACTTGATGAAAACCAAACTGTAGTAGAGAGAAAATTGAAAGTGACATCGTGATATTGACTAGAGTTTTGGAATGTTCACGGTCAGACTCAGAAAACAAGTGAACTAGTTCTCAAATAGGGATTTTTCATAAAGACATAATCACACAGATTAAAAGAAGAATTATTCATAACTATATCATGGTTTTCTGACCAAGTTTCATTTGAGACAACAGAAAACAAAATTGAAACATATGTCAGAGCATCCCCTTTGAAACAAAAAACGTCATTTATAAAATTGGAATTGCGATTCCAACTATATAAGGATGATCAACTGCTTGTTGGTCCGTACTTTATGTTTTTTTTTCCAAGAGGGGATTTTTTTTTCAATTTTTTTCCTTGTTTTTTGAAAGTCTCTCCATATTCGACTAACCAATATCAATTGTTGATAATCTTGTCATTTGAATAGTTTTATTTGACTTCTTCATGATTTTCGATGATATTATTACAATTGATATTATCACTAATTGTTCTTCATAAATATGATTCATTTTTCTGATTACTTATCATTTCGCAGTAATTGAAAACGTTATCCTGATTTTCAGCAAGGAGTCCTATGATAGGTCACCTGAATGCCACACTAGAGGGTCTATTGAGTGTTCGTGCTTTCGAAAATCATTCTCTTCTCATTGAAGAATTTGATGAACACCTGGATCATTTCACTTCTGCAAGTTATTTAATGAATGCATTAATGAAAGCCCTTTCACTTTATGGTGCTCTGATATGTTCGGTCTTCAATGCAGTGGTGATATTGAAACTCGTCATTTTCAACGCAGGTTTGTATGTTTCAGTTCAGTAGTTCGAAAACTTTGATTCTTTTCATTCTATGGGGTCTTCCCAATGTGGCGTACGCCACATTGGATATTCTGCACGAGCGATTTGAGGGCATGGTCATCTAACGTGAAGGTGTGTACGAATGAGTCCAGCAAAAATTTCGAAAATATATCGCACACGTTGTTTTGTTTGAATTTAAAGATAGAAAGTTTTTAACGGAAGACCCTATACTTGAAAAATATATCTGGAATCTTCAGCAATGTCAATGTTCCATGAATATCATAATGAAAACATCATATTTCTATAGATACAGCAGCTGGGGATGTTGGGCTGGTGATTCTACAAGCCTCACATTTATCCAGTGTTCTACTTTCGTGGATACGTCAATTTGCTGATTTCGAAAGCTACATGACTGCTACGGAAAGAGTTCTTGAATATATAGACATACCCACTGAGAATCGAAAAAGTGGCCAGATCAGAGAAAATTGGCCAAAAAATGGAAATATTGAATTTCGAAATGTATCACTCATCAACAGTTTTACGAAACAGCCACTGTCGAAGAATTTGAGTTGTGTTATCCAATCAAAAGAAAGGATTGGTATTGTTGGTAGAACGGGAGTCGGGAGGTCATCAATCTTATCTAGTTTATTCAGGCTATATAATATAAATGGAAGTATAATTATAGATGAAGTGGACATTAAAGGGCTATCTCTAGAGTTTCTCAGGTCGAGAATGACTATAATTCCCCACGATTCTATTCTTTTTCCAGGTGAGTTGTTAGACTATAGCAGTCCTTTTTTGAAAATCCTAGGTCTAATGACATACTTACATATAGAGTAAATATTGCTGTCAAACTTCAGTGAAATTTTTTTGGTCAATATCTGGACACAAACCATCAGAACCAATGTATAGGTTTTGTTGTACAACCCTACCATCTGATTTCTCAGAATCACATGGTGTTTCATCTCAATTGAGGAGCAATGTTTAGCAATAGACGGAGTGGATTACCAAGATTGAAATTTTTTTCATCAATTCAAATATATCTTTGTTGATTCTTCATTAGTATGTTTTACATTAACATACTTTCCAATCTTAGTAACCAAGAAAAATCAGTGCTCCAAATATTAGTATGACATTCTAGATATATATTTTTGGAGTATTTATTATGTGATTCTTTTTTTGTTTTAGGAACTTTACGCTCCAATTTAGATCCAGACAGGATATTCTTGGATGGAGCCATATGGAATGCTCTAGAAGCGGTGAATATGAAACCTCTCATCCAGGATTTGCAAACTGAAATCAATAGAAAAGAATACATCAGCTGCGCTCAGAAACATCTTATATGTCTTGCTAGAGCACTGCTTCGAAAAAACAAAATCATTGTTTTAGATGAACCAACAGCTAATCTTGATTCGGCTACATGCAAGTTACTTCAAAGTACGATGAGAAAACGATTTTGTGAGTCCACCGTTCTGATAGTCACTCATAGAATGGATATGGTTCTGGATGCAGATCGAGTAGGTTTCAATGTGGTTAATTGCAAAGTTTTCCATATTATTGGAAAAGTATTGTACCTTTTTATGAGTCTCTTCCAAACACTAATATCACAGTGGATACTGGAATTTAATAGAAATAGTCGCCATTTGAATCAGTGCACCCAAGTCGATTGATTCCATCAGGATGAGAATTGTGTGATCGGGATTCGAAAGAGTCGACGAAGGCCGTTTTTTATTTGTCTTGATTGGCGAAGGTTCTACCAGTGAGAAAGATATCAGAGTTTTTGAAAAGATGGTAATCGGTTAACGAGTGGTCTGGGGATATGGTGGGTGAGGCAGAATTCAATTCGTTCAATTTCCATTTGATATATAGAAGGTGCGGACGAGCGTTGTCTTGGAACAGGATCTGACCTGTTCTATTGACCAGTGCCGGCCGCCGTGATCATGAAGTACCATACGGTACCATACAGTAATCATGGCATTTTTCATCATAGGTGACGGTCCGATCCAAAAAAAGATCGTTTTTATTGCGCAAAAGCGAAGAATAACAGACCTTGGAACGTTACGATTTCTTTGGAGCTTTTTGACTTCTCCAATACATTTTAAACCATCAAAAATTGGATGAGCTCACACAGCATCAGATACTCATGGAATATTCCCTCTATGTCATAAAACGAACGTATACAGGGTGTAACATAAGTACGTTAAAATATTCACGTGGCGTATTCCTGAGACAATTTTAAGAAAAAAAGTCTATATGAACTTGTGTCCGAAAATGCTTCGTTTCAGAGATACGGGGTGTTGAAATTGAATTTTTTTGTTCGCTTTTTAAATGTCTCTTACAAAAATTAAGTTATTTGCACGAAATTCGGAACCCGGAATTTTTTTGCGTGGGAAATCATAATTTCGTATTAATTTTCATGTAACATCTAGAGGGCGCTGTGTACGCTGTCATTATTTATTTCAAATTGCCCTAACTTTTTCGACAGTGAACTTCTGATACTTTTCATGAAAAATCCTAATTCCAACACCTTTTCCAAATAAAAAAGGTACAACGCTGGAGGTGATCGTTTTCGAGATATTTACAATTTTCTATATCGATGCATATTACTTCAAAGGCAAATTTGATTTCAATAATTTTTGTCACTCTTCGCTTGCAAATTAAGTTAATTAAATGGAGTAGGCTATGAAAGTTTGTTTATAAAAATAGAAGTTCGCTGTCACATTTTAAACTATTAATTGACAAATTCACAGTTCGCAGTTTATAAAGTGATTTTTGGGTACCATGCCCGACTTTACGAATGCTGAAATGACTGATATGGTTTTTTTATACGGTTTGGCTGACGGAAATTCAAGCGAGGCCAGAGGCATCTATCAGGAAATGTATCCCCAACGCGTGACTCCTTGTGCAGCGACATTTTCGAAACTTTCCCGGCGACTTTCCGAATCTGGAAGCTTTGAAATAAATTCTGCAGTAGGACGGCCACGGACTACAAGAACTGTAGAATTGGAGGAGGTGNACTTATTTTTTGCAAGAGTTATTTTCAAAAAGTGAACAAAAAAATTCAATATCAACACCCCGTATCTCCGAAACGAAGAATTTTCGCACACAAGTTCATATTGACTTTTTTCTTAAAATTGTCTCAGGAATACGTCATTTGAATATTTTAACGTACTTATGCTACACCCTGTATATTCCAAATAGTCATAGACTTTCTTGGAATACATACATGTCTTTAGAATATCCACAGAAAATGCTTGAATGAATATGGCAGGATTATTCTCGAAAGAATGTGCATAGAATGTCTATAAATGGATTATTCTCCCTTGAATATTCCAAAAATATTGTCCATCGAATATGCCATATGATGTATTTTCAGAATATATATTTCGAAATATTCTATACGGTGTATTACTGGAATATCTATTACAATGTGGTAGAGCTTACGTCTAGCTTTACCGACATTCTACGCTCCGTTTCTGATGGGTCAGTGTCCACCAGGTCCTTCAATCTTCGTCCTGGATAACTGTACGTCGTCCATTCCGGGGATCATATTTGAGGCTAAAATCTCTGAAACAAAATTTCGCAAACAAATGTCGTGAATTGCGTTCAATAAAAGTATCATTGTCAAATGCCTGATTAGTTTTTCGGCTGTTTCGGCAGTGCTTTGCTTCAGTTCAATTTCGTAAAGGAAAATTGGCTGAAAATGACTCAACGAAATCATATACTCGTGGTAATAACCTGAAAAGAGGTAAAAATTAAAGTTTGAAAAAAATGAACAGCATCGATGTATATACTACAAAATTCTCTATCGATCAGTATATACCAGGACACAGCTGAATGAATATGTATTGAGATATGAAGCTACAAAAATACATGACAAAACTTTTGAAACAACCCAAAATTGCAGAAACATAACTTGGATTTTCAAATGGTTCTTCTATTTTTCCAAAAATAGATATTCCACCAATAGATGTATGACAATTTTATTGGTGTATTGATCGAACGGTACCAGATTCGAGTTCGAACCAAATCAATTTATTTCAGTTTGATATTATCGGAAAAGCCAATGTGGAAATATATTTTTCACAGTTCAGTTCATGTGTATAAAATTTACAACTTTCTGGTTTGAAAAGTAGTAGATATGACACTTTCTGTGTTGACCGTAAAAGAAGGAATTTTGTAATACGGACTGTATTACTTATTCACAATTTTGTTCGTGTTTTGAAGTTTTTGTATGAGCTGAAAGACATTACATATACTGAAACAGATTCAGTTCAACTTGGTTAGAAATAGATGTCTTGTGTGAAACTGCATCAGTTCTGGTGAATGAAAAAAGTGTTTTCTGCAGATTCATATCGATATTAAGTGAATTATCCACTTCAGCACTCTATGGAGAAGATTTCAATGTAATTCAATTAATATTCAGATCGATGATTTTGCATTTCCAGCATATATTTGTTAATTTTCTTCCACAGGTCATGGTTATCGATCACGAAGGTATTGTGGAATTTGATACGCATTCCCCGATTTCTATTCGTCACCGTAACATGACTTCAAATTTAATTTAATGACAATTCTACAGTCAACGTGGACTAGTTCGCAACCGGTTCATTTCAATGTATTGGTTTTTTGGACCTTTGAGAGTGCCGCCAAGTGTGCACAAATCATTTATTTCGACTATAACAAAATGATCTGGGGAAACGAACCCTGCAAAAATGTGCTCAATTTCCTTCAAAATTTTCTTTCCCTGCTTCGATAAATCAAGACCGTCGTCTCCAATTAGGGATAAAAAACACGCCACTTTTTTATCCTCAGCTCTGCTATTTGAATATGTGGCCATTGCAAATGAATAAAATTTTTAGAAAAGTATCCCCCAGTTTTCTGAAATGTTCTCAACTGGCACGAACGATTCGGGAGGTTTGAAACAGTTTTCCATTTTTGGCACTACCATTGGCATGCTTTTTTCCGATTAGCAAATAAGGGTCCAATCGATAAAACAAAACGAGCTTTAAAAAACACTATTTCTTCCACATCCAGAAACTTGCGAAGACTCCTTAGTAACCTGACACCCTGTATAGATAGTTGTTACAATAGTTGTTACAAGGATGACTAATGACCCAATTTCCGTAATTATGATCAGTTATTGAACAGCTGATATAGTTACCAGTCCTAGAGCACTTACTATATCTGTGTCTATTCATAGTATGCCGGTAAATTACATTGCAATAGGTAACATGTACTACTAGTTGCCTAAAGAGCAGTAAAAGACAATTATAATTTCACACAATATTATACAATATGTACGTACCGCTTCTATGGTGCATTTAGACTTCAATACCTCTTGACATGGCTTTACTTTATCTTGGTCAGATACCTCTAATCTCAGAGAAGTAGACATAATATTCAGATACATGTATTATACAACAGTTTGGGTTGTGAAACTATAAACAAGCAAAAAATCTTCAATATGAAAGTGATTCTTTAAGAACGAAAAATTCATAAACATTTTCTCTAATTTCTAACAATAACAAACATATTTTTTTGACTTCTGATGCACTCTTTGGAACCTTTGGTGTAGTATTGAATATTACCGGAGCTTAATCCCAACACCAAGCCGTTATTTCAACACCTCGACACGTGTTTTGATCACCAAGTGATTATCTTCAAAAGAAAGCGTACAATGTTATCTTTATTTATACCTTGTAATGCACTGTTAGGAACTTTCGGTTTATTAATGAATATAACTGCACTTTTATCCTAGCATCAAACCGTTATTTTAACGCCTCGACACGTGTTTCGATCACCAAGTGATCGATATGTTTCACTATACAATAGCTTCTTCAGGCATGTCTATACTGACTGAAACCTACATATTCAATACTTTATAAATATTTTCCCAATTTGAATCAGGGGTTGTTATAGTGGTAGGAAGTTACAGGCCTTTTTAATTAACACGCTTTTATTAGCTTCACCTGTATGTATGTATGTTTGTTTGTAAGTATCAAGCTCGGGATCTGTATTTGACAGAATCATCGACATTTTTGCTTGATCTATTCGCGGGCAGATGGCGCTGTACGTAACCTTCTTGCTATATTGACATTATTGCTCTATCTATTCGCGGGCAGATGGCGCTGTAAGTAACCTCCTTGCTATATTGACATTATTGCTCGATCTATTCGCGGGCAGATGGCGCTGTACGTAACCTCCTTGATATAATTCGAACTCACTTCACACGTATTTTTTCATTGGAAATAAATATTTTTTTTAATAACACGCGCGCCTGCTGCCTTCCTTGGGCTTGGTAGCTGATTTTCAGGCTCCCTCTCCGGAATCGGAAAATATCAATGGTCATTTTTCTAAACAATATACGGCTGATCGATCCCAAAGTTAACATAAAATAAATATAGTTCAAAAAAACTAAAAAACAAGCTTTTATAGCATACGAAACTAAAAAATGGATAATAATTATAGTTTAAAANAAGTTGTTACAATCGACTTTTTCAGTTGAATCGACCATTGTTAAAAAAATTACATGAATTTTAGTAACTTTTCGATCATATTTCAATAGCTGAATAGACATACTAACGATAAGTGCAATCAAATACACAGGGTGAGTCAACAAAATTCCCTCGGTCCATTGTTAGTATACAAACGCATTTAAATAAACATGTGATGAATAAAATTACCTAAGATTATGTATCAGTTGATTACCAGTTTTTACATGTGCAAAAATGCAACGCAAAATATTTTTTGCATTTTTGTGAAACTGTTTAGTGAAAATCTCACAATAATAGTGTTTTTAATGATCAATTCTTAATAGCCCTACTATTTAGAAATGGTCACAGTTGATGCAAAGTTTGTTTTTGACTTTGTATGAGGTAACTCAATAGAATATCTATTTTCAACTGAATAAAGTCAAAACACTTGTTTAGACGACTGAAACTTGTAAGTGCGTTCAATTTTTGTAAATGTTTCGATTTTTCATTAGAAAATTATACCCGATACAGCAATTTTTTTTTAATATTGATGATACTGTTTGATATTGAAAAAAATTGTTCATGAATTTATCTCATTGAGAAAAAACAATATTTTATTATGGCGCTATTAAATAACAAGACTGGTCATAAAAAAGTTTTTATTATAAAAATGAATTACATTTCA